AATATTATAGAATGTGTTGACTGTTCCTGTACTTTTGTTATATTCTGGTTTGATTAGTGGCTGCTTAACCTTAATGTGAAACTGTCAGAAAAATGTCATTGTACTATTTTTATTATTATTCTTTTTTAGCAGTTTAACAACTGGAAGACATTTCAAATGTAATATTCTCAATAAAATGTTGTTGTAAATTATAACTCTTTGCTTTTGTCCAGAAGTAATGTGTTGATGTAGACGTGTTTAAACGGTTTTATAGACGTCCAGGTCTGACCGGACCGATTTTCGACCCGTTTTAGAACCTAGTCAAGTTCAGATGTGTAGAAATATCCTGATTGATTGACTTTCACGAACTTATACAATATGGGTGTAATTATTTTATATACAGGAATATATATACACACATACAATTGGTAGCAAGATCCCGCAGAACAAAAAAAGAAATAAAATAAGCCCATTTAGACGTCCGTGGACGCGCAGAAAAGACGTACAGTTCACGGCCAGATGACGTCGTTCAACTTCCATTTTGGAACTATTTTTCAACCATGAGGGACGTCTCGGATGGACGTCTTTCAACGGTCAATAAACGTCAAAATGTTTGCTGGGTTAGTATATTCTATATGCAACAGTTTTTTAGCCTTTTCTTTTAACAGCTTTAAATTTCAGTGCGCATGAAGAACAATAGCACTCTCGCGACTCCATGCTGTAGCCTAAATCTCACATACACCCGGGAGAGGGAATGTGATTTAGAAAGGGCAATAAACTCCACTCCAGCAAGATAAAGTAATTTTATGCAAACCATAGACCTTTATGCTTTATCTACAAAAAAGTATAATAATGGGAATATTGATCTTGAAGAGAGTGTCGTCGTGTCGCAACCGAACGCGACGCGCTGTGAATGCAGAATGGAGAATGACCAGAGATGTCTAATTGAAGAGAATAGGGATTATCACGCTGATACGTAGTACTTCCGGATTCTGTGATCTTTGTGCACTGCCACTTCCGTTGAATCACCGATCTCGCTGGGGAACTGATGAAGGAAGAGCTGTGTCTGAAATCGCTCCCTATCCACTAAATAGTGCACTATATCGGGTGTCGGCCATTTTGTAGTGGTGTCCGAATTCTGAGTGAACGACATCATTCCCTACATTCATTCACTACTTTTTACCCACAATCCTCTCTGAATTCGAGTGTACATTCGATGTACACTCGCTGAAGCCCTATTTCCCACAATCCCAATGCGGAGAGAACTGAGCGCGCATGAAAGTTCGGCGCGAGCAAGTTTAAACCAGAGATTACATTACATCCAGTGGAGGATTGAAAAATATCCGTTAATCGTCGTTTTGAACATAATAACGGTCGCCGGAGGGCGCTCGACGACACGTCATCTGTGAACGTGAGAGTTAATGTACAATTTCAGTCGATGAAGCTGGCACGGAGGTATAATTACAAAATAAAGTCATTATGATTGTTATTGTTGTTAATATTATTTTATAAACTAGGTAATGTAAGATAAAAGGAGTTTTATCAGTACGCGTGACAAGCTTTTCTGCGACAGCTCCAACTCTCCGACGCACAGTGTAAACGTCAGCGTCCGAATTCACTCACTTCATCTCCTTCACTCCTTGCAGATATAGTGCACTCAAATGCCATACACTATATAGGGATTAGTGAATGAGTGAACGAGTGAGCGGTTTCAGACACAGCTAAGGACTACACTAAGTTTATTTATACAGCATCCCTAGTAAATTAGTCTGATTCACTAAAGTGCGGCTGCAAACAACCGTGCTACCTTGTTTTATTTTAAAGTTTTAATCCGCTTCTTCCTTATACTCAATTCAGTCGGGAATCCATGAAAACTTAAGTACGGTTGGTGTTGTTGGTTAGATTTATAAAGTGGAACAGAGTAGTGACATAAATAGCATTCATCTCAGGCATTGTTGAACTGCGTCGGAAGTGGACATGCACAAAGTTGACAAATCCCGCCCATGAAACCCGGAAGCGTGATAATCCCCTATGGGCTATATGCACGCATAAGTTCGGCATTTGACGCAAGGATGCTCGTCCATTTCCGGTTGTGTAGATTAAAGCGGAGGAAAACCGAGGAAAACAGGATTATGGCAGAGTCTTCAAAATGTACTGTCTTCCCGACTTTTGAAACGAAACGTACATACGTTTAGATGTAATTTTATATATAGTTATGTTTATTTAATATAATTTTAAAAAGAAGCATAAACACAACAAGGGGTGTCTGTTTTATCTGTTTTTGTGACTAACGTTTCTTTAGTATAACCATGGAGTATAAAATTCAATATAAATTCTCGGTATTGCATTGGACTCTACGATCGGCGGAAGTTATCGAGCATCCTTACACCTTCACCGGAAATACCGCCGTGCATAGAGCCCATTGGCACTGGCTGGTTACTTCCGGGTTGTGGACTGGCTGCAGTAACGCGTCTCTGTCCATGCGGGGCGGCAGGGCGCTCGCGGTCGAGTGCAGAATGAATGGGAGTCAATGGGGTTTCACCCCAGAAACCCACTTTTCTCAGGATGTAATTTTTTGTCAAGTAATTTGAAAGTTGCATTCAAAAGGGAGGGCTAAGATAATACACTCAGCTGGAAATTATATTTTTAAGTTCACTTATCTGTTCTAAAAATCCGTTCAAAACTGTGATGACGTCACACAATAGTAGAATGCTAGCGTGTTCAGGACAACAACATCGAAAGGACATAAGTACTCGTTCATTCAACTTTTGGCCTATAATCTATATTGAACTTGCGGAATCAACAATAAAATCGATGTTGATTTAACGACAAGCAGGTGAAAGAGACACATTTAGCCGTTTAGCCTCATAGACTCCCATTCATTCTGCTCTCGCTCATGATCACCTCCAGTGGAATTATAATGGAACTGCAACCAGGATGATCCACAACGGGGCTAATAGGAAGTGCCAAGGCTCTCCGTTAGACGGGCTCTGAATGACTGAGACGAGATGACTTTCCGTTAACTTTAACTTAGCGACTGAAATTACACATTATGCAATGACTTTAGAAGTCTTGGAATATAGGGTGAAAACTTGATTGTGCTTTACAAAGTTTTTTATGCCTTTAGTGGGGCTTAACAAAATAACATAATACTATGCAGAATATCGGACG